GGCCAGGATGGGGGCTGGAGGGGAGGGAGGCGGCGGACGGGCCGTGCAGGGCCCGTTCGCCAGGCAGGATGGGGGCTGGAGGGGGGGAAGCCGGCGGGCGGAGCCTATCGGCTCCGTTCGCCGCTGGGCTGAAAGCGGCCCTTAGTCTATGTGGGGAAGATGGCCGCTCAGAAGACGCTGGCTCCGATGACTGGCTCCCTCCCCTCCCAGCCACCCAGCCAATGGCAGGGCAGGTTGGCTGAGGGAGCCAATCATTGGAGGCAGCTCTTCTGAGTGGCATATTTTCCGCCCATACACTAACGGGGCGCATTTTAGAATTCTGGCACCCAAAACTCCTTTATAATAAAGGAGAGATAACACTGGCTCAAGATTAAAGGGAATTTCAGCCTCACATAAAATTATATCTATGACCATTTTTCCAGCAGTAGCTAGCTTGATTACAGTTCTATCACATGTAGAAGAAGGTAGTATTATCCTTGCCACAGAACCAGCAACTACTCTATTTTAGGTAGTGTGTTAGCCAAGAAGTGCCACTGGTAAACTATCTTAATAATATTGTCTCTCATTGCCAAAGCAACTGAGAAGGTGGAGCATCAAAGATCACACCATGTCTAGATTTTGCTATGTGAAGATTGATATCCATGTAGGATACTTTATGAAGCTTTGCAAGGTGTGAGAAATAGGGAGTTATACACATAAAATGGAGACATTTCCATAGCTTCTTGCAAACTTTAGGGTTTCAAATTCCTGAAATGAAATATTTTGGCACTAGAGCAGGAAGGTTAGTATCCTATAATGAAGCCTACAGAAAACGCTCTGTTCATCTAAGCTGTACAGTTATGACACACGCTTACAAGTCCCCTGCAACCATGCAATATTAAACCAAACAACAACAGGGAACACAGTGTACAGTCTACAAGATCATATATAAAACATCGTGCTAAAATTATATACAATGTATTATGTTTGTAAGTACAGTTACAAAATTATATAGAATGTCAAAGATTGTATAACAAAATTAATAACATTTGCAAAATTATTCAACAAGTATTAAGAACATAAGAGACGCCAATATTGGATCAGGCCAAAGGCCCATCCAGCCCAACACTCTGTATCACACAGTGGCCAGAAATACCAGTGCCATCAGGAGGTCCACCAGTGGTCCAGGACATTAGAAGCCCTCCCACTGTTGACCCCCCCAAGCACCAAGAAGACAGAGCATCACTTGCCCCAGAGTCCCTATCTATAACTTGTGGCTAATAGCCACTGATGGACCTATGCTCCATATGCTTATCTAATTCCCTTTTGAAGCCGTCCATGCTTGTAGCCGCCACCACTTCCTGTGGCAGTGAATTCCAAGTGTTAATCACTCTTTGGATGAAGAAGTACTTCCTTTTATCCGTTCTAACCCAACCGCTCAGCAATTTCATGGAGTGCCCACGAGTTCTTGTATTGTGAGAAAGGGAGAAAAGTACCTCTTTCTCTATGAGCTCTTTCCCATGCATAATCTTATAAACCTCAATCATGTCACCCCTCAGTCGTCGTTTCTCCAAGCTAAAGAGCCCTAAGTGGTTTAACCTTTCCTCATAGAGAAAGTGTTCCCACCCTTTTATCATTTGAGTTGCCCTTTCCTGCACTTTTTCCAAAGCTATAATATTCTTTTTAAGGTGTGGTGACCAGAACTGCACACAGTATTCCAAATGAGGTTGCACCATTGATTTATATAGGGGCATTATGATATTGGCTGATCTGTTTTCAATACCCTTCCTAATAATCCCCAGCATAGCATTGGCCTTCTTTATTGCAGTCACACACTGTCTCGACATTTTCAGTGAGTTATCTACTACAACTCCAAGATCTCTCTCTTGATCAGTCTCTGCCAGTTCAGACCCCATCAATGTGTATTTATATTTAGGATTTTTGGCTCCAATGTGCATCACCTTGCACTTGGCCACATTGAACCCCATTTGCCATGTTGACGCCCACTTGCCCATCTTTGACAGATCCCTTTGGAGTGCCTCACAATCCTCACTGGTTTTCACCACCCTGAACAACTTTGTATCATCCGCAAATTTAGCCACTTCACTGCTTACTCCCAACTCCAAATCATTAATGAACAAGTTAAAAAGCAGTGGACCAAGTACTGATCCCTGTGGTACCCCACTGCTTACCCCCCTCCACTGGGAGAACTGCCCATTTATACTCACTCTCTGTTTTCTATTAATTAGCCAGTTTTTGATCCATAAAAGGACTTGTCCTTTTATCCCATGATTTTTGAGCTTGCTTAGGAGCCTTTGATGAGGAACTTTATCAAAAGCTTTCTGGAAGTCAAGGTAAATAATATCTATTGGATCCCCCTTGTCCACATGTTTGTTCACCCCCTCAAAGAACACTAACAGGTTAGTGAGACAAGATCTTCCCTTACAGAACCCATGCTGAGTCTGCCTCAATAGGTTTTGTTCATCTATGTGCCTACTAATTCTTTCCTTAATAATGGTTTCCACCAATTTACCCGGTATCGAAGTCAGACTGACTGGCCTGTAATTTCCCGGATCTCCTCTGGAACCCTTTTTAAAGATGGGAGTGACATTAGCTACCTTCCAGTCCTCAGGAATGGAGGCAGATTTTAAGGAAAGATTACATATTTTTGTAAGAAGAGCCACAAGTTCACATTTGAGTTCTTTCAGAACTCTCGGATGTATGCCCTCTGGGCCTGGTGATTTATCAGTTTTTAAGTTGTCTATCAGTTTTAGGACCTCCTCTCTCGTCACCTCAATCTGACTCAGGTCTTTCAACACCCTTCCTGAAATCAGCGGTTCTGGAGTGGGCAAGCACCTCTCATCTTCCACAGTGAAGACAGAGGAAAAAAATGCATTTAGCTTCTCAGCCATTTCCCTATCATCCTTCAGTATTCCTTTTACCCCTTGGTCATCCAAGGGCCCCACTGCCTCCCTAGCTGGTTTCCTGCTTCTAATGTATTTGAAGAAAGTTTTATTGTTGGTTTTTATGTTTTTTGCTATATGCTCCTCATATTCCCTTTTTGCCTGCCTGACCACAGACTTGCATTTTATTTGCATTTTTGTCATTTATACTATCACCATTATGTGAGGAAACATACTCAGTCTCATAGAGTATACAAAGAAATGTTAACTTCAAAATAAGGCACAGGTAGCCATGGGTAGCAGTTCTACTTCTTTTGAAGTTAACATTTGAATCTTTGTATACTACATATGATTATGTTTCCTTTCATAATGGTGATAGTATACAGGACAAAAATGAATGCTTGTTGAATAATCTTACAAATGTTATTAATTGTGTTACACAACCTTTGACATTCAGTATAATTGTATAATTGTGTAACTGTACTTAGAAACATAATACCTTGTATATAATTTTAGCACAATGTTTTGTATATGTTCTTGTATACCATGCAATATTATGCACACAGATGAAAAGTACACTCTACCGGTGGCTTTCAAGATTTCCATACCCTCAAATACATATGACAGCAATATATGAAAATATTTAATAAACACAAAGATTTTGGCTCAAAATAAACAGGCAAATTATATATTACTTGAAAAAAGATTCCGCAACTGAAGACGTCCAAAGGAAAATGTGTTGTCTTTCACTACACTCCTAAAAATGTCAGTGGAACATTCCATAAGAGGCCATAAGATTACGTTTTATTCTCCATTACGGTGCAAAACAACCAATTAGAAATTAACATCAATTTTCTGTGGGGGAAAAAAAAGATTTCCATACCCAGGATCCACGGGACAGCAAGCATGTGACATCTTAGTCACACAAGGCAGGAGCCAGAGTTTTGACTTTACCAGTGTCAAGGCCAGGATAATGGGGAACAGACTAAATAGCACATTCCTAAAGAGAATTAACACCCTTTTAACTAAATCCAGTTATGAATAATCCAAGGGTCAGAGTCATGCACGAATCCTCTGTAACACTAGTCTACTTTTACTGCCTTACTTCTCCTCTCAGTGTGTGCACAAAAAGAAGCAGGATGCACCGAGCACTTGTTCTCAATACATGAGCAACATTCATGTCTTTCCCAAAAAGCAGCTTAAAAAATAAGAAAGAGTGGATCGATGACCCAGCATGAATGGCTTTGTGATCTACCTGAGGGTATGGCCCATGAGCTGAAGAGGACTGATTGATTTAGATTACAACTGGAAAACAAGCAGAACAACGGTTTGCATGGAGAGCAAGTAACTCAGGCAAATGAGCCACGCCCAGGGCTATTTTTGGGCAGGAACACACAGGAACAGAGTTCCGGCTGGCTCCCAAGTTGGCCACACCCAGAAGGAACTCATTAGCATAATAGGCCACACCCAACAGCAGAAACTCATTAGGATTGGCTACATTAGGGGTGTGTGGCCTAACATGCAAAGGAGTTCCAGCTACAAAAAAGCCCTGGGTTTTAACAACAAACAAGGTAAACAGAATAACAAGCAAAAGGTGGGTGTGGCTGGATAACCACACTTCTGGTAACATGGGGGTGCGGCCTAATGTGCTAATGAGCTGTGCTGTCAGGGGTGTAGCCTAATATGCTAATGAGTTTCTGCTGTTGGGTGTGGCCTGTTATGCTAATGAGTTCCTGCTGGGCTTTTTCTACAAAAAGAGCCCTGGCGCCCACGCCACATACTCAAGTCACACATAGCATGAACAAGGAATTATGTTTGTAGGAAACAAGTTCTGGCTTCTCCTCTTCACTGCCCATCCTCTGTCTTTAATGCTCTCCTTTCCAACATGCTTGTGTGGAATGGAGCAAATGCAAGTGTCACAAGCAAACAAGTGCTATTGCTCCAGTCTAGCCATTGGGAAGCCCCTGGGCACAGCAATTTCGAGTTTTGGACAGGTGTGCAAGCCCATGCTTCCAGGCAAAATTAGAAGAAAAATATTTTATAAACACAACTTTTACCATCAGGCTCATATAATTCCCCTAAAAAAATTTACTTCTTAGATGACTGGTTGCGACAGTCACATCACTTTGAATAACTGTTGGCATACAAAGAAAGAGCAAACAGTATTAGTTTGTTTTCAGGTTATTTCTTAGAAATACTACTGAATATGAAATGCAGAAAGGTATAACCAAGAATAAATTTATTTAACCAAATTAAGCCAAAGTGAGCAAGATATTGTTGTTTTATAGAAACAAATGACAACAGAAACCACAGTCCAGGAACAAGTTAGGTCAGTGGATGTATTTTTTTTTTTTAGTTAAGGAGTAAAGCTTTCCAGCCTCCAATACCTGGTTAGAAGTCTGATACAGGAGGGACTCAGAGCAAATGGACTTAGATAACAGTGGGCTGGATCCAAGGGTACCTTGCATAGAAGGTGATTTTTGACTCATGAAGGGGATTCTTCATCCACTCTTTAAAATTCGAGAGCACCTTTGGACTCAGCCTCATGATTTGAAACCAGCCCCATTTTTCCTCATTAGAATAATGGATGAATTACCCCTAAAACTATCCAGGGGTATACCAATATGGAACACAAGTTCATATAATGAATATTTTCTTGTACACCAATACAATTTCCCTATGCTTCCTTTCATCTTGGGTTTAATCTCTTATACATTTCTACCAGGCACAAGTGTTTTTTTCTGAATAACCTTAGAAGCCATTAAGCTAGTTTTGGCCTTTGAATTTACATACCTTCATTGATCTGACAGTGAAAAGTACACACAGCTTCCCATCTCTAACCATCAGCGGCACAAGAACAGAGGCTTTTGCTAATGGTAAATGAGAAAATCTGTCTCCAACATCAAATTTCCTTAATTGCTGCTTAGCTTTTTCTTTCAAACTCATTCTAGAATAAGCAAAGAAAAGAAAAAAAGAGAAAAAAGAACATTTCATAAAACACAGAATTTTCACTCTAGGGCTATGGTCAATTTGCATAAAATGAATATGAAACTTAAGCTTACAAACAAATCTGTTCATTTTCTCACAGAGAGAAATATTGTACACAGATATGTCTACACAGGCCTACAATCTTCTCCTGAAGGCAAATAAAGCTATAATACTTGAACCTTATCACAAACCTCGATGGCAATGTAATAACAAAGACTTGTTAGGCCTATATGCGTGTACGAACTGAGCTTGTACAAAAAGCAATCAGGGGGGAAAAAGACAAAAACAGAATGGTTATAACCAGTATGGTGTATTTGTTTCTTATACCTTACAGCAATTCCTAAATTACACATAATAGTGCAGTTTAATAACAAAGCATTTTCTGTAGCCTCACCAAAGGACATATAGATAAGAAGTTGTAATTTTGCTCTGATTCAGTTAAGACAGAACATTTCACAAAGGAAAGGAGCAACAATTGTATAACACATCACTATGAAAGCTTCCATTATTCATTGCTGAAGGGTTTGCTCTACCTTCCTGAAATCATTTACTGTCAAAGCCTGATCTCCACTAATTTAAAAACAAAGAAGCAATATTCTCTTCCTAAAAAATCAATTTACAAATTTATCAGACTTGAGAAAATGGGACTGAATCTATAACAACAAGCTAGCCATGGGGGGTGGGGGGTGATAGTACAGAAATTTACCAGGGATAAGTGTCAGAAAAAATCAGGATGGTTCCTCATAAACAGGGACAGCTGGAGGATATGAGAATAACTAGATTCACTCCAGCGCTGAAAGGAATGCCAGTGAAATATTCTATGATCAACAGCTAGGATCCCAGTTCTGTAGTATTTTTGTATATGGAGGAACTAGCATATAAGCCTAACAAGTCTTGTGTTACGTATATGTGTAATAATTCCTTCTTTTTTTTGTATAAAGATTTTATTAACTCCCCTAAAAAGGGGAGGAGTTTCGCTTAAAAAGAAAAATAGGGAAGGTATATAGTGGGACGAAGAAAAAGCTGAGTGATCTATTAACTGTTAGATTAAACTGTTAGTAATGTCCAATCATCAAAGGCTTCTTCTGCGTGTTGTCAAACATCTTTTTTCCATTCCAGTTACTTTCTGTATTAGTATGTTAGTAATGTTCCTTTGAATTTCTGTTAAAAAGTTTCTTCAGGGCACATTCAAAACCGCTTCTTTTACGTGCTGGTTACTTTTCCACTCTCAGTGACGGGAGGGGCTTCCTCTGTTTTTTCTCTCCCTCCGGCTTCTTCCCCTCCTCCTTCGGGTCGCTGTTAACTCTTTCAGTTCCTGTCCTATAAGTCGTCTTCCTTTCATGCCATGCCCGGAGATCTCCAGCTTTGAGAATGGTATTAATTTCAATTTCGCTTTTATCGCTCCCAATCTCTTCGCTGGATTCTCCTCTTCAATTGTTGACTTTTATAAGCGCTCATGAGGCACTTTTTCGCTGTCACAATTCAAACTTTTCTTTTCCTTCACAATCCCCGTTGGATTCATAGCTATACACAGTCCAAATATTAAACGGCCGGCACTCACGTTGACACAAACGCCCAGACGGAAGTCCCTCCCTTCTCCTCCGCTTGTCTTTACCCAGCTCCGACATCTTGTTTTTTTATTTTTAGTAAAGTTTTTAAAATGCGCTCCAGGGAAACAAAACCTCTTGCTTATTTTCAAGTACATCAAAGGAAAACATCACTATTCGCTCAGTCCATTCCCCCCCCTCTTTTCTTTTTTTTTCTTTCTCGCTTATAGAGGATTAACCTCCTCATTTTCCGCTGAAGGGGGGGGGGGAACGTTCGACCGAAAGAGAGACTCCCCCCTGGAACGCCCTAAAGCGCCCCGGATCCGAGCTCCTCTCATCTGAGGGGCTCGTTCGGGTCTCCGCTTGCGCGGATTCCCTCCTCCACCGCGGGCGGGCAAGGCGCCCTCGGGAGCGACCCGAGGATGCATCTGCCTTTCGCGGGAGCCAGACCGGAAGCTATGTGTAATAATTCCTTACCGTGTCAACGTATAACACGGAGGAGGAGGAGGAGAAGAAGAAGAAAAAGAAGAAGAAGAAGGACAACGAAGATGAAGAATCAACCAAAAGAGTTTAATGGGCTTTTGGCTATACAAATAAACATTTTTCTTGATCAAAACTTGACACCCCCCCCCCAACTTAAACACCTTTTCCTGGGGTTCATTGGGGAACCCTCGACTAGTCAGTTTCTGACAGAAGGGCGGGAAGCACAGCCTTACCTATAACTGTAATAGCAGTTAGGTATGTATAAATCAATAATTACAGGTAAGGGGGAAAGCAGTGTTAGCCTACTGCAGATATCACAAAAGACAGTCTTGCAGTACCTTAAAGGTTAATGGATTGATTGTAGTAGAAGTTTTTGTTAGGTGGTAGTGAAAGCACTGCCAAGTTGCAGCTGACATATGGCAACCCTGCAGGGTTTTCAAGGCAGGAGACATTCAGAGGTGGTTTGCCATTGTCTGCCTCTGAGTAGTGACCCTGGACTTTCTTGACCCTGCTTAGCTTGACTTCTGAGATCTTATAAGACTGAGCTAGCCAGAGTCATCCAAGTCAGGGCAATATGCATTAAGTGACTCCTCAGTCAGAATATACATTAAGTATACACACACGTACATGGATATACAAGGGAAAATGCACTATGTGGCCTTTGAACTCCACCTGAGACACACACTGTGATATTCGTTATAATAAGTAAGTGCCATCAAGTCACAACCGACTTATGGAGACCCCTCAAGGGGTTTGCAAGGCAAAAGGTGAGCAGAGGAGGTTTGCCTTTGCTTTCCTCTTTTCTTCCCAGGTGGTCTTCCATTTAAGTATTAACCATGGCCAGCCTTCCTTAGCTTCTGAACTCTGACAAGCTGAGGGCTATTCAGGCTGCTGACATTCCTATGCAAAGTTCAAAAGTATACAAGATAAGCACAGTGACCATTGTCATTAGCTGTAGTTGATGCTAATCTCTCAAATTACTCTAAACTGGTTTAACCCCAGTAATGGGTGAGAATCAACAGCCAGTTTCCAAAATGAGCATCATCACCTGCTAATCTCGGCAGATCGAAGTGCTGTTAAAGACACAGAACAAAAAAGGGGATAAAACAAGTTGGCCACCGTTATCAGCTGCCCATCTGCAAACAAGGAAATAAAGCAGCGAAATTTACAAGTGTCTCAGGAAGACAAAGAAAAGATTTTCCACTGCTTTGTGCTGTTTACTGCCCTGTTTTAAGTATGGTTACTGGAAAGTGGTACCAAACTGAATGGAATTCTGGCTTTAAAGTGCTGTGCAAGTTAAATTACAATAAAAACACTGTTTACTCAGAATATTTGTGGAAATGCTTTTGCATATATTGCTTATAACATATTTGAGGTATAGTGGGTAGGTGACCTGTTTTATTTCCACAGCTTTTATGAGCTGCTGGGCAAGCAGAAAATAAACAGGTGAAACAATAGGGACTGTTTCCCCTGCTAATTTTGTGAGAATCCAACAAGTGGAGGAGGCATATTAATTTATGCTTATGTTAGAAATCCCAGCATCTGTCAACCAGTTCTTCATCAGTTGGGGGGGGGGGGAATAAAAAAATAAGTTGCTTGTGGATTAACCCATTTATTAATTTATTTTAAATTGCTGAATTGGCAATAATAGCAGCAATTAGAGGGTTAGTTGCTTGTTTTGGAACAAAGTTATTAGTCATACAATCTAAATTATTCCTGGGGGCAGGCAGGGTTGCCAGTTCCAGTTTGGGAAATTCCTGGAGATTTGGGAGTACAGCCTAGAGAGGCCATGGTTTGAGGAGGGAAGTAACCTCGCCAGGGCATAATGCCATAGATTCCACACTCCAAAGCAGCTATTTTCTCTAGGGGAATTGATGTTTAAAATCTTGGGATTACTTGTACCTCCAGGAGATCTCCAGGCCCCAACTGGAGTCAGCAACCCTACTTGAGATTTATCAAATTCATATTGATAAATTGGTCTCTTTCTCCTGTGGGATTTCCAGCTTTTTTTCAGTCTGACTTGAGAAAGGTGGCCTATTAGGGATGCCATATCATGAGAGGGAGGGCAGCTCACCTCCAGACTACAAAGATTAGTTCCCCCGGAGAAAATGGAAGCTTTGGAGGGTGGACTCTCTGGCACTGTACCCCGCAAAGCTCTGGCATTGTACCCCGCAAAGGACCCTGTCCTCTCCAGGCTCCATCCCCAAATCTCTAGGAGTTTCCCAGCCTGGATCTGGCAACCATATCCCTCCATTCACTGCCGCTGGCCTGAGGGAACCTGGCAACCCTATGGCATCAGGCTTCCCAAGTACTTACCGTGATTCAGCAGGGGACACAGGCGTCCCTGCAGGATCATTCCTGCAGGGACAACAGACACGCCGCACCATGCTGTCGCCAGGAAGTGACGCCGGGCGACGCTCTGGCAATGGGGCTGGAAACTCAATGGTACCATCGAGTTTCCAGTCCCATTGCCAGAGCGTCGCCCAGTGTCACTTCCTGGCGACGTCATGGTGCGTTACAGGGAGGAATGGTCCAGCCCCTGCCGAATCACAGTAAGTACTTGGGAACCCTATATGGCGTATAATAACTGGTTGTGTGTTTTATTCTAAATTTCCATCTTGCAGCAGTGTTACAGGAACAGGAGTGAGAAAACATCCATGGACCACTAAAACAGCTTTAAGTTTTTCAGATTCGTAGCCCAACCCAAAAACGTGTGTACAAACAGGAGTAGTTCCATTGCACTCAATAGAAGGCCTATGAAATGGGCACAGGATCACAGACATGAAACCTCAATGAACCTCAATGAACTTACCCAAAGGTACACTCAACTGACTTCTACAGGACTGGTTTTCTAAAAAGCATCATTTACATTGCAATTCTAAACAAGTACCATTAAGTCTCAATGGACTCATTAGGACTTACTCTCCAATAAGTGTGCAGAGGATCACAGCTGCATAGCTAAACATGCTTATTCAGACTGCAGCCTTTTGCAGACATTTGTTAGACTTTAAATGGGTCTGACTTCTTAATAAACATGGCCTAACAGAGAGCAAACCTAAATAAGCTTATGCAAAAGTAAATCCTGTTGAACTGAATGCAGGGTTGGTTAGTAAAACGTAGACACTTAAGTCACATTGAGTTTAATGAGGTTTATTTGCTGATTAATGCAAAAGCTTAAGAATGTTCACTCAGATGTTGCTGATTGTATTGTAGTTGAAGTAATTGTACCATAAACTCAACCAGACATTTCAAGAGTTTGAAACAAATAGGAGTCCTGTGGTATCTCAGAGTCCCTTATGTGCCACAAGGCTCTAATTTCTAGTTATAAAAAATTATGCTACTTCTCCAAGCAATCTGCCTAACGCATCTTATAAAATAAAACATAAAGCAGTGACAGTTATTAATTAAAACAGGGAATTTAACAGCCCCTATTTAGAAAAAAATTACAGTTCAGAAGGGTAAACACATTAGACTGCTGCAAGAAAAACAAACAGGCGTTGTGGTACAATCTTTATTCCAGTATATATATTTTTGTAAACTAGAGCTCACTTCTTGTGATGCATTAAATGCATTCTGACTAGCGATAATAAACACACACACACACGTGCAAAATTATATGGTAACAAAAGGCTTTGTGGATTAGATGCCACTTCTTTAAATGCATTTTTGTCAAGGTGTCACAAGAATCCTGTTTGTTTATTTATTTATTATCTCAGGCTCACGTGGCTACCACCTTTCTAGAATTATGAAACTAAGGGAGTCTACTCAGAAACAAGTCTTATGGGCTTACTCCCAGGAAAGTATTTTTTAGGGCTGCAGTCTAAATGCTGCCTTAAAAATCCACTAAATGTGATGGTTACTGAGTTCTCGATAAGCGCGCTTAGAACTCCAATTTGAAATAAATTATTTAGAAAGAGCTGAGCACTGAAGAACGCCATATCCAACAAGCCACATTTAGGCGATTTTTCTTTTTTAAGAAGGCGGGTCCCCAAATATAAAGACTACCTATATTAAACGAAAGTGTTCTAATTCTCCCACAGGCAGCCTTTCTGTTAAAGTACGAGCCTCCTACAGCGTCCCTCCTCTTTCCTCCTCAAAGAGGAGAGGTGGGGAGACATGTCAATCACTATCCTTAAAGGGGCGGGACATTCCATCTACGGTACCTTTTTTGCTCGCTTTGAGGGTCCAGCGCAGCCGCCATTTTGAGGGGGGAAAGGCACAGAAGCCTATATTACCAGCACCCCCACTTTCTTGCACACCTCCCTTTCTTGCGACCCCCATTGGTCATTTGTTTATGATTGGCAGCTCTTTCTTCCTATCCTACATGTTCTCTTCGGAGAATGGGCGGAGTCGGAGTTTTGCCGATGTTACGTGTGTTCTCATTGGATAATGTTGAAAGGCAGACGCAGACGAACGAGTGGGATGCAAAGGAGGACGGAGGAGGTGGAGGAGGGAAATATGGGATGGGCGTGGTGTTTATTGGCTGAGAGCTGATAGCAGGTTTCCTTAGCGCCAATGACCTGGCGCACTTTTTATCGCTTTCTCTCCCGTAAATGCGGTTCGTTGCGTGGAAAGAGTAGTTTACACGATTGTTGTAAAGCGGAGGGTTGTTGCAGGAAGAAGCGCAGATAAATGGATAGGAAGGAGAGTTTCGATTTGTTATAAATTTACATCTAAATAAATACGAATGAGAGCGGGAGAGATTTTGGTCCCGAAGAGAAAGCCAGGGCTCTATATTCATTAAGAGTAACTAAAAATATTAGCTTTAAGAAGTGTTTGCTTTCTTTGCACAGACGCGAACTTTTTTCTAGTCTGCATCATAAAAAAGAACACTTGTCGGGAAAGAGCAAAGGTGTTTTTGTGCATGTCGTTTTTAAAAGGAGAATGACGGCTGCGGCTGTTCGCTGCACCCTTGCCTGGGACTCGGAGTCAGCGCTATCGAACGCAGTGATACTAATAAGTAAATCATCAGATTAACGGTCAAGAGAAACACGACAGAGGTGCTCACACGGTTAGGGATGGTGTGTGGGTTTTCCCCATGATCAGATCGCAGGGTTACTCATGTGAACCGGGCTCAGGTCAGACAAAAGAAAGTACTTCTTCACAGGGAGCTTTCTCTGGGAAGCTTATACCCCGAAAATCACGTCGGTATCTAAGGTGCTACTGGACTTGAATCTAACTGTTCTACTACAGACAAGCAAGGTTACCTTATGAAACCACCTGTTCACAGGGTGCACAATCAATGTGCAGTGTTTTCTGATCAGAAAGATGGTGTGACTGCGGGATTCTGGAGAAAGCAGGCTTTCTGTTGGGGGTGATAGGAGGCAGAGCTTACCATACTGTAAGGAGCTTCAAAGTCAGTTCCTGGGTCTTTCAAAGGGTGACACACTGTAAAGAACATATATCTACAGTTTCCCATGGTTGTTTCAATGAGGATTAGAAGTTTTATGTATTCAAATCTGGCATTTCTCTGATTCACTTATATATATTCCATATATCTGAGTGTTTTAGGCTAGCCAGGGATGCAAAATCCAACATTTCTGGCTACCGTCCTTGTCTATTAAAACAATCCACTATTTCCTGGTAATGTCTCAGGGTATCCTGGGATGTTACTTTGTTTGCAAGCAAGATGGGGAGTGAAAATAAATCTGTGCATTTCTCTTCCTCTGACTGTTTCCCCATTAGGTTTTCTTTTTCTTTTGTTAATTCAGTAGTGCCTGAGAACTACACACTCCAATCCCACCTACCCCATAAACCACAGTGAGGACCAAAATACCAGACAAGATTCTCAGATTTTAACCATGATTCCTGTCACTTAATCTCCTTTTAGCTCTTCATCCCACTGTCATGGTCAAACAAACTTTAACCTTAGTTTCATTCATACAGCATAGTGACTACACATGTATATTCCCCACCAACAGAGGGATAGTGTCATGCATGTGATCAAATGGACTTTGCTTATTTGCTGCTTGCTTAATTGAATTTCAGAGTGCAGTGGAAAACATGTATGACTTTCATCAAAAAACCAAAACAAGGCAGTAAAGGACAAGCCTAAATCTCTCCTATTTATTTTAGAGCGTAGAACATTTTAAATATGGTTTCCATTAAAAAAAGGATGGAGGGCAAAGATTAAGATCAGGGGGGTTTAAAAATACTTAACTTTTACTGGATTGTGCCCTATATGTCAGAATCCTGTAGCTATAGGATCCAGTACCCCCCACCATGAACCATTCTAGTCCAACTTTTATGATAACCTATTTTTATATGTGCAAAGATTTTCCTCAAGTTACATTTAACAATGAAATCTGCAATCTGAGGCGATAGGGTTTGCAAATCACCTCTCTCATTTATTGTTTCTATGAATGATGAGTCCATGCTTCAACAGTGCTGTTTTTTGTCAGTAATCAGTTCCACAGCACCTTTTTATCATTAATGAGTTCCTTATATATACAAACCCTTTAAATTGTCAGTAGTAGCACTTCTGTCTTCTCAGTATTATGATCCAATTTATTACCTCACTTCCACTCCAAAACTGCCTTGGACAGAAGTCCCCAACCTTTTTGAGTCTTTAGGCATTTTTGACATCATAAAACAGTTTCTGCAGGAGGTGGAGCCACCCCCCCCCCAGGAAACCCAAGCTCAAGGGAGGAGTAATTTAAAAAAAACCACAAAGAAAAAGAGCTGTGTGAGAAAATAAAGCCAACACTGCAGGGGCAGTTGCCACTGCAACAATGTCATTTTAATCTGCACAATCCAACAAATCTCCAATGGCCAATCAGAAGCCATACTAGTCAAGACTCGGAGCCCCACCCACTTTCTGAAAACATGTGACACTACGACTTTGGGGGCCTCTGGTCTAGGGCCTAGTGTCTACCCAGGTTGGTTTTCTTTGGAGAAGAGAGCACTGGACACTTATGGATTCTTAATATTTGCTTTATTTACAAATATACACATAGAGCACAGGTGGCGGCAAAGAGGCACTCTTACAGATTATCAGATCCCCAGAGAGACAATCCTGCTTGATGCTTCAACTAACTCCCAGAAGTAGCTATCTACTCCTTTCTTTGTCTACAGCCATTAAGATACTGTTCCTTTGACACACAATAGACTTGGGTCCCAAGTCATCAGAGGCCAAGTCCATTTTTTTATCCCTAATGGTATGAACACACATTCAACTCTATGTTCATTGTATGTTACAAATGTGAATTTAAGGTCCTTTGGAAAACACTGGAGGTGTTTGAGGATGGGTGGTTGTGGTACACAAACCAGCTACACTCAAGTTAGAGAAAGTGTTAACTTCTGTAAGACAATATGATTTTGAATTTGGTAATAATCTTTTTAACGTTTTAGCAGAATCCTTAAGATAGCCACAACATTTACATATTTTGCAGTAGATGGGCACAAATTAGTTCTCTGAAAGATCTAGGGAAGGTTTTTAAATCATACTAGCTAGCTCCCTCTAATCCAGAAAGGCCATCTGTTAAGTCAGTCAATAGATGTATTCTCAGTATTGATATTATATTACCAAATTATTACCAAACCGAATTATATTAAACTTAAATGAGCTCAAAGCCCTACTTACGGTAGAGCATAAAAAAGCTGTGCTGGATCAGACCAGCGGTCCATCTAGTACAACATCCTCTTTCCTCCAACTGAAGAGCCACTTAAAATGGAGGAAGGCTTCAAATTTTGTTTAGTGGAGTGGTAGGGTATGGGGAGAATCCACCCCTTTTATTATCCTTCCGCCCCCTCCCATTTCATCCCCCGTGGTCAACATTTAGATTTTGCTCTTTGGCTTACAAGTACTCCCGTACATTGTTATTATGCACACTAATGGTGCTAGATTAATTATAATAACGATAAAGCTCACTAGACTGTAATCTTGCTACAATGGCTCATCAGACAGGCATCATTGCCAATAACAATTAAAATGGTGATATTTGCAATACACGTTATAACTTGCACAAATAGTACAGGCAACCTGCTGTGACAATTTGTGTGTTGAGATGGCTCCCCAATTAGCTTCAAATTTATGTTACAACCCTGTTGATTAAAACATACACACACACAAGCTGGCTTCTGTGTATCATATACCATTTGCAAAATTGATGCAATTAACCTCTACTACCTGAAATAATTTCAAAAACAGCTTGTTCTACTGTGTGCCAGTCACATATAACAACATTTGAGCTCTTCTGTAAAATTTCAATAGGTCTGCTGTGCAAAATGCCATTCTTGTTTAGCTTATTTTTCCTCACTGCAGATAATATAATATTTTCTATGAAGTGTACATTCATGTTCAACAGCCTTGACAAGTATGCTTGGGGTATTATATAAAATACATACGTTTTCCACTCTTTATTTTAAGGAAAATACACTACAAAATACATCTTCATTGGCAACATTGCAGTTCTTTTGGGTGGTAAAAAATTCTGTACTCTGCTATTCATTCATAGACAGTACATGATCCCGATTCCAATTAACGACACTGTCAGAGTTTATATTTTTCCTTGGCTTTCTCATTCAAAATGCAGATATGCTTAAAGAAAAAAAATACAATTTTAATGTATATATGAGCAGAAATAAATGCCATTATTTGGGTTTAAGCTCTGTGTGGGCATGGTTGGGTGTTTCATATCAGCACACTTAAGAATCACCATCTTTGCAATTGCTGCCCCCAGGGTCCTCTCTCTCTCTCTCTCTCTGTGTGTGTGTGTGTCTAAAGCACCATCAAGTCACAAGCAGTGTTCCCTCTAAGCTGAGTTAGTGTGAGCTAGATCACAGTTTTTTAGCCTCTGGCTCACACATTTTTGTCCTTGCTCAGGAAGGATGGCTCCAAAGCAAACTAACTTATGCGGTAGCCAAATCATTCACTCACAACGTTAATGCCAGTAGCTCACAAAGTAGAATTTTTGCTCACAAGACTCCACAGCTTAGAAGGAGCATTGGTCACAAGTGACTTATGGTGACCCCAGCAAGGGGCTTTTAAGGCAAGTGAGAAGCAGAGGTGGATTGCCATTGCCTTCCTCTGCAGAGTCTTCATTGGTGGTCTCCCTTCCAAGTACAGACCCTGCTTAGCTTCCAAGATGAGATATCATGCTGCCCCCTCCCCGATGTCTACTTCTATAGTCTATTGCAATCTTCTGCATGGTGAGGTTTCCTGGTGGAAAAGGGACAGAAGCATAAAGCTGGGGCTTCCCATATGGAACCTTCATAGGATACAGAATGTCTCTACACCAGTGTTGTACATTTCTGGCAGTTGTTACCCTGCTGTAGACATTCTCCAGGCCAGTGTTACTCATTCTATTGGTCACAGAGAACTACATTTACAATTACCATCAACCCAAACAGCCAAATTTACTTTTAACCCTGGTATGAGTCCTGCAGAGGCGTGGTGGCTCAAGTGGTTAAGAGACTGAACTGCAGGCTGTGGAAGGTCGGTAGTTCAGCAGTTCGAGACCCTAGTGTGCCGCATGACGGAGTGAGCTCCCGTCTCTAGTTCCAGCTCCTGCCAACCTAGCAGTTCGAAAGCAAGAAATTGCAAGTAGATAAATAGGTACCACTTCAGTGGGAAGGTAACAGCGTTCCGTGCGCCTTTGTGTTTAGTCATGCCGGCCACATGACCATGGAAATGTCTTCGGACAGCGCTGGCTCTTCGGCTTTGAAATGGAGATGAGCACCGCAGCCCTAGAGTCGGACTCAACTGGCTTTCGAGCAAGGGAACCTTTACCTTTATTTATGAGTCCTGCACCTCAGGGAGGCTTGAAGCTTTTCTTTCCTTTAGCAGCAGCTGTTTCAACGTGGAACCCAACTGCCATCCACAGCCCCCACTATGCAAGGGCCTTGTCTACTGTCCTGAAACATTGGGCAAGTGCTATACTGGGGAACAGTGCTCAGAAAAGCCACTGGTTCCATGTCAAACAGCCACATGTGGGTTTCAAGCCACTGAGCAAGTATCACTGTTCTAGGCTATGCTGAAGGTTCATGTGATATGGTTATGGCCCTCGGGTTGAATCTCATGGAAGATTTTCATATGTGTAACAGTCCTTGTGGTGGCACTAAAATAACTTCTCATTGTACGTTTGTGCTAAGTGAAAGTGGTTGTATTCCCTGCTATCTTCATGAACAAGACATAGTGTTTCCTCTGATATCATCCCCAAACCAAACAATGAAATAATGTGAATCTTCTGTTGTGCACTCTATTACTCCATATCCACATTGTCATTTTGGTAATAATTATAATAAAGTGCTGTGTGTTGCTGCAGCCCTTGTGTTATGGCTTGTGCAAATGGAATTGCACTAAGTACATTTAACTTTCTATTCGCACATCACTGGATCCAACCCCTTGTGTGGAAAAGATTCCATACAGCTTCTTAAGTTTAATTTATATTAAAAACAAGGTGATGAGACTCAATCTGTTCATGAAGATTAGAAACAGCAGAACAAAGAGAGTGGGAAGATAAAAAGGCAAAGAGAAAATAGGCAAGAGTTTAGAGATATTATAAATGAATAATTAAAAAATGGGTTGGATCCAAACTAAATTTTCCACTAATGGAAGAAGAGGAGTAATTTCTGCGAATTCCCCCTTTTGGCTACAGACACAATGTGCCCCTCATACCATTCCTGAGGGTCTCCCTGTATTCCAGGCAGATCAATGAGGGAGGCGGAAGGCATGGAAGTTCTGTTCCACTAGTGGAAGCGTTTCCATCAGGGGAAAATTGAATCAGGATCCAGCCCAATAGATGGGACTATGCTAAACATAAAAAAAGAATGCACTTACATTTAGGTCCCTGAAGTACTCGTTATAGTCAAGAGCATATCCAACCACAAATTTGTCCGGAATTTCAAATCCTATATCTGTAATAAAAGTTCAGAGGATAGATTTTCATCCTAACATAAAAAGACACAGCTACGTGGTAAGACATCTGCCTGATGAAAGGCATCATTTGCAAAAACAAGATGTTGTTCCAGAAGACAAACTATTACTTCTGTTACTGTAATCATGTTTCAAATATGGTATCATTTGAGATGTCTAACTTTAAAAAGTATTTTTCACCTGGAGAAATGCGGCCCTTTTGTTTTGCATGAAGCTTGTACCTCACTTAGCTAAGAGCTACTGGCTTCATGTAATGCATGGATCTTTGAGCAATAGTTTAAGGAAAAGCGACCCTTACTTAAAAGTAATAGAATTATACAATACACATTGTCTCTAACTGTGATGGCTGCAGCTAAAGGCACAATACAATGATATTGGTTGAAAGCCAACCCACACTCCACCATAAGATGATTATATAAGGGTATATGTGATGCCAATATATATGATGTTACTTAAAGTGTGTTCTATTTACTTTTTGTTCAAGAGCTCACCCATATTATGGGATACTGTTATATTACAGGCGTTTTAGTAGGAGGTTCAAATTCTGTTATTTCCAATAAAGTAATAATCTCACAGATTCCAGTTATTTCCAGGCCAAGAACTGCTTGCAAGACGTGCTCCAATACCTGGCATGTCAGCATTACTCAATAAATTAACCATGCTGCTGCTTCAGGATTCAACTGGTGTTTAGTAAGACTAACATGACAAATATGTGTTTTCCTGATTCTTTCTAGAGTCTACACCCCCCACCCATGACTACATCTTCAAGTGTGCACGGAGTGAGAAAAGAATCCACCAGTTTCTGAATTTCAGCAGCATCTACCTGTGCTAGGCTATGGAAAAAACCTCTCTACTTTGTGCATGCACCATGGGCGAATATGCGGTTATGCACATATTACTAACTGAGAAGCTGCAGAGCTCCAAACATCTTGAGTGCAAAATGGGGTGATTAGATAGCTGGAAATGCACAGTGGGACAAATTGAGCTGTAAATATGGGACTTTCTCCACTGTTAAGGAAGTCCGGGGTGAGGATGGTGGGGGGGTGATTGGGGAACAGAAGACAGTTGTTGCTGTCTGGACTCACACATTAAATCTGGTAGGGAGAAGGGATAACATTGGACCAAACAGTCCGTCTAATTGCACCCCTAGTCTACTTTTTATTCAAACAACTTTCTTTGCCCTGATTCTAGTTCAGGATTGACACAATGTTTCCAGCACAGGCCAAGAAGGATTTGGTACTTTCTGGTACGTTCAGATGCGCCGTTTGATCTGTTGTCATGACAGTTCAGCAATGGATTTTATCTGCACGATCACACAGTCAACATCTACCTCCTGTCCCCAGCCATTGGTTTCTGGCTCAAAATCCCTTTAACCCAGAGTATTTTGTTACCAGGTCCCAAAGTGGTGTTTTCTCAGCTCTCCTGTTTAAAGCTGCATTTCCCCCCTGTGTGATCACTCCTCCAGTGTCAAGCCACTTCCAGTTTAAACCTCCTCCCTGCTCAAAAGTTGCCCGAGGCTTCGGCTTTTCGCCCGCCATTTTTTTAATGCATTGGCAGTATGCGCATTGGTGGAGCTCCGCTACCATGTTTAGAAAACCAACATTTAAACGGTCACTTGTTTTAGCATTTAGATGAGTCTGGGATCTCACGGGAGCCATTTTCAGGTCAAACGTTTAAAGGGAAATCTTTTGTTGGAGGGGTTGGATTGATTCGCCCTGGTGGTTCTGCGCATGCGCCATGGTAGTTTCGCCCTCCCATTCTATGGATGAGCGCCTATGTGCATGCACAAACTGAGGAAAAAAAGCCGACTCATGCTCCCGCGCGTCGGTAGCGTAGATAGCAGGGAGCGCTGAGACTGCGTGGTAAAGTGGGATAAGGGAGTGTGATTGCAATTATCTAGATCAAATATAATCTGGTCAGAACCAGAGCAGTTTAACTGCTCTCAGCACGCCGTCTGACCGCACCCTCTTCTATGTCCCTTCTTTATTTACTCCTGTGTTTTCTTTATTGCTTACTTACTGTAAGCATGAGATGTGAGAATTTGCAGGTGTCCACATGTACGTATTTGTGTATCCCTTTCCTATGTTTCTAGGATCAAAACCCGTAAGTGCTGGCAACTCGTTTACAGTTTTTTTGATTTGTCATATCAGACCGATTCTCTAGATCTACTTTGGCCTAGTTTGAAACCCAGATTTGGAATGGACACTTGGCAGCATTACTTGGGAAATTGATAGGAATTGAGTCCATGCTGGGTTTTGTAAACTTCTCAGAGACTTTTGACTCTAACAGCCATGGTATCCTGAAGGTCACCTTGCTAGGTGGGACTGGAAGGTAGTGATTCTGGTTTTCCTTGACAAGAATACCCCAGGTAATGTTGGAAGAACCACAAATGGACTTCGATTTATGGGTTGCTAGAAGATCTCATCTTAGCTCTCATGCTGATTAACATCTGTATGAAACTGTTGGAAGAAACTATCCGGGATCTGGTATAAAGTATATGCCGACAACACCAGCTGTAAGGATGAACAAACTAAAACTTCATTCAGACCAGATGGAAATACTGTGGATTGAGAAGAGGGATGTGGGAATATGTGCTCCATGTTATTCTCATGCTGCCTCCATTTGTTCATCTTGATGCTGAAAAGCTTTTTTCTCTGTTTTTGCATTTACACAAGAAAACAAGTATCTGAACATTGCAAAACAAGAGGCAGGAAAGGAAGCCAAACTACATCTAATTCTAAATTTGGGATTATATAAGCATCTCAGGACTACGCTTTGCGAAGTTCAGTGTGGGGTGAGGCATGGGATCAACTATTTGGGTAGTGCATACCATTCATCACAGCCTCTCTAAGTATATGCCTCTACATGGGTAAATCCCACTCTTGCAACCTTTTAATCTCCTTTTTTCCATTGGGGCAGACCTGTTAAGCTTTATCAGTGCTGGACAGTGGACATGAAGCACAGGTTCATTTCTGTACTTCATTACCCATAGACTTTTGCAAGATGCGTGACCAAACATGCAGCCCTTCTGATGTCTATTTTTGTGTGATTGTGTAAATCTGATCTTCCTACTCCACCATTTCCTGACACTTTTAAATACCAGGATTTCCTGTAGAATTTTTTGAATTTCCTGTAGAATTGTACCTATTGGAATATGTTTATTTTTTGAATGAAAATCCTAGAAAGTGCCCTACTTACAGTCAGGTTTATATCCTGAACTTCTGATTGTTCGTTTTACAAGCAGGCTGTTCGTTCAAAGAGAAAGAAAAACAAAGTTAATATTCAAACTTACGAAATAATTTTCTTCATTTAAAATGGTGAGGGTGCTAGAATCTTTGTTAGAACCAGCAGATATGCTGATGGACCCTACTCTGATTGGTGGAATCCTGAAAATTGTTTCATCCAGATGGGGCTGGCTGTATGAGTACTAGGAAGAAGTATTCATCATCTCATGGTACATGAGGTCAGTAGTTGGAATTGGAACTGAGGGCCAGATTGGGAATTGGCAAAACTGGAGAAGTACAGCAGACAAAAGATACTGGATTATTGACCAGGAAGGGCAGACATCCAAACTCCCGAGTATTTACTCCAGGGCAGGCCAACCTGACCAAATCTAATGTTGCTTGCCAGCATCAGGTGTTGTTGCACACCCTTTGTGTGCCTGAAGAAACAGCAACAGCCTCAGGAAGCTTCCTTGGATAAGTCAGTTTTTGACTGTGAGATTCTGATTCAAGACAGGACAGAGGTTCTCTCTTGACCTTAGTCCTGTTACTGCTTGAGCTCTCAAAGAGTGTGATACTTACCTTACTACTTTGACCATCTGTGGTTCATACTCCTTTATTCTGGAAAGCAGTGTTTGTATTGTCTTGCCAGTATCAATAATATCCTTTTTAAAAAGAGAGAACATTTATTGTATGGATTAGAAAACAATTGTCTGTGTAGGTAAGAAGGTAAATGTATGACATAAGCCAAATTCAATACTGAGAATCTATGGTAGTGGGCTGCTAGAACATTGCCTTTGTTTTGTTTGTAATTTACTGGTTTATTTATATAGGGTTTTTTTCTATTGTAAGGTACTTTGGATCTGTTCAGGATGAAAAATGGAGTAAAGCCAGAGAAAGGGGTGAAAACTCCCCTGCTGCCCTTTCTATTGGCAAAAGAGCGGTGGGAGGGAAGCTGGAAGTACCTTTTGCCCACTCACAGCACAAAACACTTTTTAAGGTGAATTCCCCTGATGTACATCTGACTATGTGTCTGGTTGTGCACCTGTGACTGGACAGGTTTCAGGTGTATCACGTAGTTTGGCCCAAAGTAATAAATTGCACCCTACGCCATTGTTTTAGTGCACTGGCAAAAATCTGTGCATGGTTCACACACTGATTATTCTAGCATCTCACCTACTTCTCCCACATACCTTAAAGATTTGATTTTTAGCAGCCGTTATTTGGTTCTTCAGTAAGCACATAAATAAATGTAGTAGACTCCTACTTTGCGGGAATGCTTTCATATTACAATTCTATCCCAGAATTAGTATGATCATTACTGAGACACAAAGATAAGCAGCTGTATATCGATAATGGAACACTCACCTCTACCACTAAGACATTCTGCTTTCCAGATTTCACACAGAAAAGGAGCACCAAAATATTGATTTCATGATTAGTTCCATTGTAGCGAATTTAGTTCCAATTCAGGCATAAAGGAATAGAAGGGGAAAAAAACAACTACTGAGTTTCAGAATTTCTTCTTTTTATTTAAGGCTTGCTTGAAAGCCAGGCCAGAATGCTATACTAGTATTTTCTCATTTATGATCTAATGTTTGCAATGTGAAATGCAAATTCATTACAAATCCCAAAGTGTGGTTTAGTTATATTTTTCATTTTCACTATTCAACAACTGCAGATTAAAACTTCAGTCTTGCACTATCTGGCTGCAAACTCTTTCTGGAGCAGCAGCATTTTCATGACTGCCCATGTGACTGCCATCATTCAGTCATAATGACAAATCCTGTTTTTTTCATTCTCTCTGACCCTAGCCACTTTGTTGGCTCAGCTCTCGGTCCATCAACAATAAATGCTTTAAGTGCTAGCCTAGCGAATCTTAACACTGGGCCTTAAAACATCTTGAACTTCAGTCAGAACTTAAAACTGACAGCTGTTGATGATAACTTACCTTTCCTTTAAAGGCAGAGAGTTCTTCTCCAATGATACTGACCGTTCCAGTTGGTATATCATTCTGGGAAGAGATGAAGAAGGTCTTTTAGAACATGCTTAAATACATGAATTTATTGTGAACTACGAGATGCCTTCTACTACCATTCCAAAATAATTAATGGAATGCCCCTAAGTATATCGATGAGGGATGCTTGTATGGGGATGAAAGTCCAGTATAGTGCTGTGATGTCTGTACATATGTATCTCTATGTCCAGAAGCAGCACATGTTGCTTCTACAAAATTGCTCTTTGTGTGCCACCACAGCACATCCTGGGATCTAGGGGAAGTCCAACTCTCCAGGTACATCAACTTGCATGAAAATCTGTACTTACACAGTAGCTTTTTGTTTTTACAAAATCCACGGTAATAGGGACAGATTGATCAGTGTTCCGGTTTAGTGCCTTTATATGATCCATCAAGTCAGCGAAGAATTTATACCCTCCTTTGAGGACGCAGAGGGCAAATATAGGATGGTTCCCCATGTCTTGCATGATGTCTCTAGCCAAACGTTCTGTCCTAGAAGTAAGTTAGGGAAATAAATATTAACGCCTACTTTGTGTCCATCTTTCAGCCTCCTTGCCTGGGTATTTTATGTCCCTTAGAATCGCTGCCTCCTGGACCTCTCCCTAAGAACATAAGAACATAAGAGATGCCGATGTTGGATCAGGCCAAAGGCCCATCCAGTCCAACACTCTGTATCACACAGTGGCCAGAAATACCAGTGCCATCAGGAGGTCCACCAGTGGGGCCAGGACATTAGAAGCCCTCCCACTGGTGACCCCCCCCCCAAGCACCAAGATGACAGAGCATCACTTGCCCCAGAGTCCCTATTTATACCTTGTGGCTAATAGCCACTGATGGACCTCTGCTCCATATGCTTATCTAATTCCCTTTTGAAGCCGTCCATGCTTGTAGCCGCCGCCACCTCCTGTGGCAGTGAATTCCATGTGTTTATCACTCTTTGGGTGAAGAAGTACTTCCTCTTATCCATTCTAACCCGACCGCTCAGCAATTTCATGGAGTGCCCACGAGTTCTTGTATTGTGAGAAAGGGAGAAAAGTACCTCTTTCTCTACCTGCTCTATCCCATGCATAATCTTATAAACCTCAATCATGTCACCCCTCAGTCGTCGTTTCTCCAAGCTAAAGAGCCCTGAGCGCCTTAACCTTCCCCCCCTAGTCTTCTGACATTGCTGTGCATGAAGTTTAAAACCTAAAACGGCAAGTCTCTCTTCCCTCACAGAAAGGGAACTGCAGTTTTTTAAAAAATTCTACTCAGCAGTGTTAAAACTGCTGTCTAAAAGACAATAATGTCTGTATAATATGCCCATGGAAGGAAATGCCACAGAGAATATCTTGTTTTAAGCAGACACACACTTAATTTCCAGTGGAACCCTGACTCGATGGCCCAGGCTAGCCTAATCTCATTTGATCTTGGAAGCTAAGAAGAATCAGTCCTGATTAGTACATGGATGGGAGACCACCAAGGAAGTCCAGGGTCTACAGGCAGAGGAAGGCAACAGCAAACCACCTCTGTTTGTCTCTTGCCTTGAAAACCCTACAGGGGCCCCGGTCACACGGGCCGGATATCACGCGGGGAGGGGGGGAGGCGAGGCAAATTGACCTGGCACAGTTTGATCTGCGATTATACAATCAGACGCGCCGGCGGCACGCCACGGGTCCGTCCCTCGGAGCCGGCGCGTAAACGAGGGGCTGGAGGGGAAAGCCGCGCACCAGCGCGGTCACACTGCGGGCCTCCGGAGGCATCCCGTGGCAAACCGTTTGCCAGTACTTTGGAGGTACTACTTTTTAATCGCGCGTTTTCGGCAGTAAGCCACGGGTTGGCCACGGGTGCACTCCACTTCCCAGATGTTGGGGTGTGATCGCGCACGGATAATCCACCCACCACCCGTGGCTCTCCCGCGGCAAATTCGCCGTGTGAACGGGGCCAGGGTACCATAGGTTAGCTGCAACTTGAGAGCATTTTCCAATACCACCACCACCAATTTCCTACAGAACAATGCTTGTTGTAGGGTCTCCATCAATACTCCCTCTAAGCTGTGGAGTCTTGTGAGCAAAAATTCTACTTTGTGAGTAACTGGCATTGAAGTTGTGAGCGAGCAATTTGGCTACTGCATAAATTAGTCTGCTCCGGAGCCATCCTTCCTGAACTAAGGCAAAAATGTGTGAGCTGGAGGCTAAAAAACTGTGAGCTAGCTCACACTAACTCAGCTTAGAGGGAACACTGGTCTCCATTGATAATCCCAGCAGACAAACAAGTTCATATGGGAGGTGGCGATCCTTTAGATATACCAGTTGCTGCTACATGTCACCCCTACTACACCTGCTCAACACTAAGCCTCAGTTCTTATTTGCAAAAACAAAGTTCCAGCCATTTGGAACGACAGCTGGCCTCAGGTTGTTTCCTATGGAAAGGGGACACATATGGAAAGGGTAAAAGCCGGAACGGGCTGGAATGGCCAACCTGTAGCTGCAGTTAAAGCTCCCAATATTGTCTTGCTTGTGCCTAAAAAGGAGCCACCAGTCATGCTATTTCAGCTCAAGGCCTTTCTACTCATTAGGTGTCATCAAACCTGGGTTTCCCACTATATGGGCACTTACCAGGGAGGTCCTACCTATACCTATTCTGGCTCTCTGATGAACTCTTAGAAATACACTTGTTGCGTTTCTAAAATTACATGTTTAAGTACATTCTTAAAAAAAAACAAACTTAGGGGTTCCCCTGAAAACTGTGCAAATTAACATTTGGTTCTTGATTGTCTTTCTTACCTGTCAAGAATGAGCCCGTGAGGAATGAAGACTCTTTCTAGATCATCCTCATAGTGTTTGGGGACACAGAATAAATTCTTATTGAAACCACAGTCTTCGTCTTTTATCTGCAAAGGGAGAGAGAATATCACAGGGTTAAAAAATGATAACATACCGTGCAGAATCTTGCTTAAAGGCCAGATATAGTCAACTCATACTTGCTTTGTGCCTGTTTTAAGGGATATGATTGTCCTAATTATTTAAAGCTCTAAATTTTAATGGGGGGGGGGGAGACCACATTATCTCAAGTTAATGGCACTGGGGAAATGGTGATTATGGATAAAGTTATATCACAAAGAGTATGAACAATCTGTGAACTTAGGTGGATCATGAGATGGAGGGCAGGAAGGGATGCATCAGTGATTAGTTCTCATGGTCCTTTATTACATGTCCAGGGAAATGCAGATTGCCACTTCGGGGACAGGAAGAAAGTTTCTCCAGGCCAGTTTGGCCATGGATCCTGGAGGGTTTTTTGTTTTGCCATCTTCTGGGCGTAGAGCAAGGGTAACTAGGGGTGTGTGCGTGTGTGGGGGGGAGGTAGCATTATGCAGGGGGTTAGACTAGATGACCCTGGAGGTTCCTTTCAACTCTATGATTCTAAGATTTCCAAGATTTTAGAACAGCAAGGTGCACCCGCACCCTTAAGGAAGGAAGGCCCATTTCTGCTCACACCAAGGCAACTGGCGTTCCCTGAGGAAGAGCCAGGATGCGCCTTAAAACTGATTTTGAATTGTTTCTGTACTATGGTTCTATGATGCCTGCTCTTCTGGGATGTCAACTTGACCCATAATCTGCTGGTTTTTAAGGAAGGCATCATCTCTTGGTGCCTGCTGGAGCTGCTTTGGGATTTGCTGGCTTCCGGGTTATCAGCACTTGTTGACTGTTGGTTCTTTCCATTTGTGGCTGTTGGGTTGATCTGGCAGCACTGATCCATGCTTTTATAACCTTGTGGTTGGATTACTGTAATGCACTCTACACTGAGCTGCCCTTGAAGACAACCTGGAAAGTTCAGCTGGTTCAGAAGGCAGCAGCCCAATTATTGGCCAGGGCTAGCCAACAGGAACATTCTCATCTACCTTAAAACAGCTAAATTGGCTGCCATTTTGTTTCTCAGTCCAGTTCAGGATGCTGGTTATGACCTAGAGCCCACTTATCTAAAGAACTTGTCTCCTATATGCACCAGCTACTGTCCTTGGGCAGCCACCTAGTGGCTGTTTCCAGACTTAAGGGAGTCCAGGTGGCTTCAACCAACCAGAACCTGTGCCTTCTGCACTGCAACTCCCACCTTGTGGAAGAGGCTCCCTGAAGAGGTGGGGAGGGGGTGCCATGTTTAGAAATGTTCAGAAGATGCTGCAAGGCCATTCCATTTGCCATAACTTTTAATGAGAGAGAAATAACACAATAGTTCTGGTAAACAATCCCCCCCCCCAAAAAAAAATGAAATGGGAAAAGGATTTAGGAGGGGTTATTTCCAGTGAAACACTTCAGTGCATATTAACATATGGACCTAAATTTATAGTGTGTTCACAATTTAAAGAGAAATGGTATCTCTCTGTGCGTAACGTAGCAAAAATTCATAGGAACTTACCTGGTAAGTGCTGGTACTGTAAATAATCTAGAGCTGATTTTTACCATATGTGGTAGATCTGTATACAAGCTAAAATTTTTTTGGCAATCTTGTTCTGCTGTAATGAAGGCTGGTTTTGGAACTGATTTCTCCTTTACAATTGAGGCTTTTGTATTTAACCCTGTACCAAAAGTTCCTAGCGATCTGTGTTTTATCATCTGACATCTCATTGCAGCTGCTAGAATTGTTTTTGTGAGGAATTAGAAACAGGAATCAGTTCCAACGATCCAAGAATGGGCACCAAAAAAAGTTTAGAGACTTATCAATTGATTAAACTGATGGTTCTAAGGAATGGAAAAGATGCACAACAGACTGAACTGATTTGGAAAGCAATAATGCAAAAGTTATGTTGGTTAGTCAGGTTGGGTCTCTATTTTGTATTGTATGTCTGTGTTTAACTCCTGTGTGTCTAGTACTCTTTAAATTAAAACAACAACACAATATCTTTATAAAGTTTTTTAAAAACACGTATTTGCAGACACTTTCATCTAGGGATGCCAGCCTCCAGGTGGAACCTGGGGATCCCCTGGCATTACAACTGATTTCCAGACAGCAGAGATCAGTTCCCCTGGAGAAAATGGCTGCTTTGGAGGGTGGATCCTATGGCATTGTACCCCACTGAAGTCCGTGTCATCCCCAATCTCCATCCCCAAATCCCAGGATTTTCCCAACCTGGATCTGGTACCCCTGCCCCCAACCCCCCACTGGTGGCCAGGGGAGACCTGGCAACCCTACCTACAGCAGTCCCTTCATCTCTGAAAGCAGGGTCAACTGAAGGTGATTCTCTCTCTCTTTTTTTACCATGAACATGAGTAACGTCACATATGAATATGCACACAGAAGTAGCTTACCATTGCCTTTCTCTGCATAGCAACCCAGGCCTTCCTCCCATCCAAGTACCAACTATGGCCCACCTTGCTTAGACTCCAAATAGGGTTGCCCCAACCCCCCTGGTTTGCCAGGGGTCCCCCATTTTGGGGGGGTTTACCCGCCCCCAACACCCACAGCCACCCCTCTCTCTTCTCTCTTGAGAGAGGGGGGTGGCTGCCTTTAAGTTCATGGAACCCGCGTTTCCTCCCAAGCTCGATCTCCGCTTGAGATCAGGCTTGCAGGGAAATGCCAGCCCCGTGCACTTAAAAGGGAAACCCCGGCTCTTTGCTCTTAAAGGGGAAACTCCGGCTCCGTGTACTTAAAAGGGAAACACCGGCTCCTTTAAGTGCAGGAAACTGGTGTTTCTGGAGATCGGGCGGGCGTGTGGGCGGATGTCCCCAACATGACATCATCATGTCGGGGATGCCCCGTCCCCTCCAGGCACGCCCTGGGGGGTGGAAGATGGACTTGGCAACCCTAATTCCAAACTTTTACGAGCTTGGGCTATTCAGGCTACCAAATCAGCCATAACCAGGCCTAAAACCAAATGGGAAAGGATCTAAACAATTTGCCTCATACAGCGAAGCTTAAAGTTGTCCAGCCACCACCCGTTCAATTATCTTGCTCAAGAGTGGAACATCTGAGACTGGTCAATAATTATTGAGATCTCCCAGGTCCAGGATAGGCCTCATTAGGAGTGGATACACCACAGCCTCTTTCAATGCTGGGGCAACCAACCCCTCTTTCAAGGAGGTATTCACTATCTCTTGAACTCAGTCAACCTGTGCCCCCCCAGCAGTTTTAAGTAGCCAAGAAGGGCAAGAGTCATACAAGCAGGTGGTAGGCCTTAGACCTCCAAGGATCCTGTTCACGTCCTCAGGCAGAATAATCTGAAAAGTGATGGCATTGTAGTTAGTTAGCAGAGTGCTCAAGGCACATAGTGCAGCAGAGCCCATCTGGTTGGTGTGTGCTGTCCAGAAACAAAGTGACACATGGAGCCTTTTGATTTGTAAGCTAATATGAACACTTTTATTTAAGGAACTCCATTCTAGACAGGATAGGGACAGGTTTCTAATCTAGTCTAACTAGCTGAGATGGATGGAGATACAGGAGGCATGTCCTACTCTCATTCTGCTAAGATGGAGAAGGCTGGCATAGTATGGAGAGAAGGTGTTAGACCAGAAGGAAGAAAGTTTCCCTAAGAGTAGCCATCTACACATCAAAGGGATAGCATCAGAGAGTAAAGGGAAGGATACTCAGGGTCCTGGTCTCTCTAGCTGTCTCTTATAGACCCCCTCTGAAGTCTGAAACTAAGAGACGATGCAAAGTCTTTCTCTTCCAACAAAAAGTATCCCCAACAGCGAGACAAGATGGCCCCCTAGCACCATACCATGCTGTCACTGCTAATCTAGACACCAAGGAGTGTGTCTGTGTGGATGTGGATGTGGATGTATGCATTCAGAGAGCCAGAGAGGTGAGGTGGTTATAGGGTTGCCAGGTGCCTACCTCGTGCTGGCAGGGAGATTTGGGGGGGCATTTGGGGGGGGGGGGGATGTTGGCAATGTGATGACATCATTTCTGGAAGTGATGCCATCATGTCAGTGATGTCAGGGTGATGCTCTACTTTTTGGGCAAAACCCTATCATAAAAATGGCTACAAACTGTAGAGTTTTGCCCCAAAAGTAGAGTGTTGCCCCTGACATTGCCAATGTGATGTCACACAGGGACTTTTGTTGGGGGTTGGGGTTTTGTCCACTGGCCAGCTGGCTGGCTGTGGGCAGGAGCCCATGAAAGGTAATTAAAGTATCCAACTAGGGCCAGGACTCCCAGGTTGAAACCTACAAATAGCACGAAGCTCACTTGGTGACCTTGGCCTAGTCACTTTAGTAAAGGTAAAGGTTTCCTTGCTCGAAAGCCAGTCGAATCCGACTCTAGGGTTACAGTGCTCATCTCCGTTTCAAAGCCGAAGAGCCAGCGCTGTCCGAAGACGTTTCCGTGGTCATGTGGCTGGCATGACTAAACACCAAGGCGCACAGAATGCTGTTACCTTCGCACCAAAGTGGTACCTATTTATCTACTTGCAATTTCTTGCTTTCGAACTGCTAGGTTGGCAGGAGCTGGAACTAGAGACGGGAGCTCACTCCATCATGTGGCACCCGGGTCTCGAACTGCTGAACTACTGACCTTCCACAGCCTGCAGTTCAGCGTCTTAACCACTTGAGCCACCGCAGCTCCTTTACTTTACTTCACTTTAGCTCAGCCTAATTGACCTCTCAGAGTGGTTATGAATATAAAACAAAGGATCAGGAAACGGCCTCCTTTACCTCCCAAACCTTTGTTATTCTGATTCTAAGGGTTTGTGCCCCTACTCCCAAAATGACCACTGCACCCCTCTAGCCTACTTCTCTGTGGATTGGGCAACTGTTCAGTCAAGGTGGTTGATGTCTTCCAAGACTTACTGAGGCGTTCTTGCCCCTGACAAGATCTGCACTATGGTCTGGACACCTGCCTCCTTGGACTCTCTCTGGCTTGCAGGAGAGATCATGACAGTGGGTCTTGTTTGACATTTTA